TTAGATTCGAGTCTTATCCATAAATGTAACTATTCATTCAAATGGTTCTCATAGGTCGATTCCTTTAAGAATATTAAAATTACCTCGAACAAAGTTCCTGATGCAAATTCCTAAAAATAACCGACCACTACTTTATATAAACCAAAGAATTTAATATAACTTACAGTTAGTGACGTGGGTAATATTCTCTTCTGGTAACAATTGATCTTATATCTCCTTCCTTTAGAAACATGAAAACAGATCGCTTCGATGGTGTAAATGACTTCTCGCACCACTCTGATAACGTTATCTTCGTAATGAATGCAAAATTTAGCGGAGAAAAGTTCATATGAATCGTAAATCCAAGCAAACCGGCTTCAAATTCGCGAAATTAATGCTCGAGCTCGCGATTATGCAAAGGAACAAAATGCCATTTTTCCCAATTTATTAACTAGGTTTGATAATCGCACCAATTAATTGTCTCTAAATTCCCTGCCGTGTGCCGTTGTATACAAATTTTTTTATCGCGCTAGGCGCCGTTCAAAGATCATTCAATTTCAAAGAACTTGCTTTTAACCAGCTACTACATTTGGCAATCTGAAAAACTTCTTTATTTATCACAATGAGTTTCATGCCAGTCTATTTATTTCCGTTTTTTATTTGAAATGAGGTTCTCCGATTTGAAAATGTTCCTTTGCGTATATTTTATCACCAAAAAATAAAGACCTCGCAGCAAAAAAGTGTCGACCGAGAGACCGAGTTATTGTACTAAATCACCAAATCACGCCGGTGTAAATTTCTTTAATAAGCTTCCAAGTGATCTGAAGACTATTCAAAATAAATGTATATTTAAGCGGAAGTTAAAAACGTTGCTATTCAATCATTGCTTCTACACTGTGAACGAATTCCTCACTCTTACTGCACATCCTTAGTCTTAGTGTTCTTGTGTTTAATATTGTTCCACAGTGATCATTAATGGCTTTAATATTTTATGTATATTTTAATAGTTGTTTGTTTGTTTCATGTTATGTTTATATATACACATACACACACATTGTAAGTACCAAAGTAATTGTAAGACGAGTGCAAAAATTACTATGTAATTACTTAGCACAATAAATAAAATGAAATGAATGAATGAATGAATCACTACTTGGTGGTCGCTCTCCAATGTTGTATGCTCTTCACTAAGAATTCAGCGCGCCTCACGTAGCCGGTACAAACTTTGTATGAAAATTACGTTAGTCCTTAAATAAAATTCGCACGGGAAACGAAGAAACAAACCAAACCAAGTTCATTGCAATAAGTGCAGTGTTTAATTCGCATTGGGAAATACGTGACACCGTCCTCGGATTGTTACGTCCTTTCGTGTTAGCGACATACGTGTAGTTCTCTATCGTAAACTTGAGCGACAGCAAATTAATTTCGTTTTAGAATTGCACAAACTAAGAATAGGAACGCTAAATTCACACAAAGTAAAATGTACTACGCGCACCTTGCGTGATTGAAGCCCCACTGAACCTGATGATCTTTTTCTTCGGAAGTAATTAATCCATTGTTAACAAAAACGCACCTTGACATAAGGAAGGCTACAACCGTATAGATCCTGTAAGGAAATCTCTTCAATCTGAGTATAACGTAAGGCAATCCTAATTACATATTTGGGACTATTGTCTACTCCTGCAGCTTCATATACCAGGAATATGAACTTCGAACTAGGGGAATCCTCAGTCAGGACAATTTCTAAATGATCGATGGAACTTCAGGAGAAAACGAATTAGGGGTATTGTATAAATTTGGGTTACTCTATTGTTTCCAATCGCCGTGAATTCGGTATCTTAAGGGTATCATAATAAATTCGTTAAGTAGAAAACTCACACATTTCAAACTTTCTAAACGGGACACTAAACTGGTCTCTTTGAAAAAACTAGTGACACTTCAAAATTATATGAACACAGTAATATCTGCATGAAGTTAAACAGTACCAGTGTTAAACATTACAGTATGATTTTGTTTATATCTTATTGTCCAGTAATTCACCAATCTCGATGTTATGGACGATATCTGCTGTCTACGCGGCCGTTCTTAGTTAAACTAGTGCAAAATTTTTGTCGTAGTATAACACACAAACAATTTGGTATAAAGATTTAATGAGAGAAATATAAAAACAATAGGGAACAAAGCAGATTCCTCCGAGGGGAGAGAGTGCTTTCCGAGAAATAAGTCAATTAACCCACAATTAGTAAAAGTATAAACACGAAAACGTAATTGCAATCGAATTCGGGATAAATTATTGTGGGTTTACAATACCAAAGAAACCTCAAACGGAACAAAGACTTTTACATTACATATCTTAAGGGGATTAAATTTAAAGCAGCTTGCCTTCGGTAATTAATGCAGTCTAATTTGAAATAAATTGGGCATATTTTTGACGTATTTGGCCGACTGAAGTTAAATTAGATCTTATCAGGCGACTATAAAACGACACCGCAATTCAATTGCTCCTTAGGGGGAATAAGGACGTGTACATGTAGTACATGTAGGAGTCTGATCTGTACTTAGATCGATGCATCCCTGGTGGTACTTCCTTACAAATTAAAGCGTGTATGAGCACTTCCGACGGCAAAGGCGATTCTTATTACACAAGTGCGAGTCCCTCAAGTAAAAATGCCGATGATACATTTTCTCTGGACCATATAAATTTTTGAGACCTAATACGGTATGCAGTCAATATGAAACATAACTTAACACTTTTGAAGCATGGCCGAACTAATAGTAATAAATTTTCTATGACCTTTCTGTCGTATACGTAAGCCTTCCGCGGCCGTGTATCCGAATAAAGCTCTAGGGTGACATTTCCTGTAAATGTTAAAGCTAGCACCATGTCTCATGCTACGTGATCTGTGACATCATCAACACTTGTTCCTTGCGTTCGCTCTCATGCCTACAATAATTATTCGCCCCGATTTATTGCATCTAAATTTATGCGTCTGTCTTACGTTCTTTCATATTAATTTAATGTTACAAATATACGCATTGCCCAGTTTCTTTTCAGACAGTGATAAGGGAAACGTTTGCACACGCTCCGTTCGAAATGTTCCGTTTAATGGAGGTGCAAAACAAGATAAATAAATAAAAATACAGAATGGCGTCTGATTGGATGGCATTCAACAGAAGTAGGGAAGCCACTAACGAAAAACCGTTAGAAATTGCTTAGATCTGTAATTGAATGTAACCGAAACAGACAGAGTGGTCTTTTGGTAGCATAGTTTGCGACAAACTGATAAAAGGTGAGTCCGCGCACAAATGGCATAAAAATTAAACCGTATAATTAGCGGATTCAAAATTAAAATTTAATTAAAAGAAATAAATAAATTTACAAATGATTGGAATTAAATCACACTAGTCGGCGGAACGGACGGATGAACACACTCGAGCGCCACCAGAAGATTAAAGCCTTGTTTCTGGCCAAGGTTGGCCGTTCCGGAACAGTCTCAAAGGCTTTTGCACAATCGGTATTCACAGGGAGTTAGTTGAAGAAACGGCTTAGTCCAAAATTCTGTGCGCGGTTCCATCCAAGGATGCAACTAAAGCAGAATTACGGCATACGGACGCGGTAGCGATTGAACTAACGGCGACGCAAGCAACAAAACATAAATTAATTAGGTGTAGCTACGGGAAATCAAATACAGGAGAAGCAAAGCAATATCTCCTAGAAAACGTACGAGAAAAATTCAAAAGCTGTTTTTACGTTTCGATTTGTGAGAATCCACCCTTATGGTTAGGCAACACACCTTTACATCTGAAACAAAAATATGATATGCTCTGTATATAACCAATCGACCGTTCTGCGCAGATGTCGAAGACTAGGGGATTTTCATAACGAAGCTAGGGAAAAAAAGAACTTCGCGGAAGGAAGAAGATGGCCACGAAGTTGATGGAGGGCATCACGCTTTCCTTTCCTAATACAGTTCGACCGTTCGCTGTATCTGATACCTGCTCATCTCATGCAGACTGCATTTCTGTGACTCGCAACATGAGAAGGGATCCTCGAATTAACATTTCTTCTATTTAAAATGCTTGAGCGATGATCGACTTCTACATGAATACTTGCTATTGACATTCTCACATGTACTTTATGGTTAGCATGTTATAGCTTATGAAGGTTTTGCCCTGTTATTGGTCTTATGCTGTTGGGTAAATATATGTTATTATTATTTATTCGTGTTAAATAAAATTATGTTAATGAAGGCTGGAGTAGAGCCACGCCATTTTGATGTTTCCTATATATGTACATGCAATTTATTATTTTAGGAGTTGTGTTATCTCAATTGATTGTACATGTATTTTGATGTGTTTTTGTACTACATTGATGTATCATGTTTTCCACAGCATTTATGACCTCCCGTGTGTTTTGCTTTTATGAATTTGTTTATTTGCATTTGATTCGATTACCTTAAATTTATCATACAATTTGAGATGTTTTTATTTATGTGTACTTTCTCTTGCATTTCGTTGCCGTAGGTGATTTATTTCATGTATTTGTGTGGCCTATGCCGGGGTTTTTGTCCCGTAGAAGGTTTCCCTGGTATGGTCTTGTTGTGTGCGTAATATTTTTATGTGTTTTTGTCATTTTTACGCACAAAGGTTCTGTCTTTTATTTAATTCCCTTGCCGATTATGTCTCACCTCTCAATACATACAAGAACCGATTACACAACGTAGGAGTTGTCACGAAATTCTGGTCTCCGGCGACATTTTACTTGGGGCTTCACTATTGCTGATGTCCAGTTGTCAATCCGTGGAGCCGTTCTTCTGCAGAATGTTGACCTCATCATCGATTTGCGACGAAAATATAATTTTAATCCGTTAACGCCACTATCGACCCCTGCTCAAGTCGAACCTACCGAGGTCCACAACGTGGCAATTAGTTCCCGTGTCACTGAACCTGACGATGGCCTTGAGTCCGTCTACACGCAGCTTGTCCATGAATTCGAACATTGTGCCGCATATTCCAAAACAATGGCAACCCTGTCCGACTTCCCAGTACAACATGGAATTATCACCAATGGACATCCGGTCTTTGACCGTCCTCATCGCCTGACTGGAGAACGCTTCGCAGCTATGCAAAATGTATTTGACTTACTGCTAAAGATTGGAGTCCCTTACAACTGGAGATTATACCACCACTGTCCCTGTTCGCTATCCTTTGCCTATTATAGAAAATCTCTAAGAAAGCAAAAGATCCGTATTTTTAGTCGTGGATCTCCAGCGCCCCTTCTACCAAATCCCTGCTGGTCAAACACTTCAGCGGACAATGAATCATCTCCTCAAAAGGATGCATTCCGCTACGCTACGTCGACGACATCTTGGTCGACTGCAACTCGCACGAAGAGCACAAGCACCAACTCATCGAACTCTTCACGGTGCTCGAAGTTGATGCGAACCTGCAGAACGTTGTAAATGTGTCAGAATGGTTGTTAAATCCGGTTTTTAGTCTGGTTAGGATTATTCTAGCGTACACCCTTAAAATTCTTCTTCCGATAAATTCAAACAATCCCGTGTTAAGTAGCCACAAACCCAAGATACTAATGCAGGCGAGTATGACAGGCGATGAAATCAAACTAAACAAAAATTAATATATCGGATTAGAATAAGAAATGAATAAACGGAAAACCAACTGGTGAAAGCACGTAATTCAGGTCTCTGATCTGGATGAATCACAGGTAAGTCCCTGGGGAAATCCAACTCCACTCTTTTGTAGGGAACGAGGAGCTCTAACAGGTCAGGACATAAAAAAGAATTTCAATTTCAATTGATGGGCATTTAGATTGGACGACATCAAGTGACATCTAACGTAGGGATTTTACATCCATTACAGGGATTTAGAAATAACTGTACTGCTTTACGACTCCCACAATAATTTTGCGGTAGCACCTACGAACTCTACTACCTTACACTCAATGTTCCCAAAAAATTTCTTTCTTTACCTCATCCCTACTTTTTCAAGTTTTACAAAATCCGCCTACAAAATGGTGCTAATTGGTTTCAGCGGAATCGCCCTCTATATTTCATAATGTTCGATACCAACAACTCCGCAACCCTAAAGGAATTCATCTCTAAGCTTTAATTTAAGAAGACCATCTTCATATCGTTCCAACCAATAATGTAATAAAAACGTGCCTATTACTAATTTAAAAAACTTTAAGAAAATTCGAACTAAATTATTGTGCGGTGGTTTTAATTCGGAAGATATTATTTTCTGAAGAACTTTAGGTGCGTGCAGAAAGTGAACCCATTCGTAAATCATCAAACCAGGATCTACACTGCTGCACTATTTTCAATTAGTTCGGGTAAGTTCCCTCCGCAAAGAAAGAGGTGTTACAGAGGACATGTTGCGTATCCTTGCGAACAAGTGTCACGCAATGTCGAAAAAAATCTGAATCAAGCTGTCGCATTGAAGTTAGTTGTCAGTTTCAATGTCCATTTTGAATTTAGGAAAACCCCACCTATGGTATTAAGCGTTGACTCAAGCTAATTTCAGATGCACTTACATTGTTTATAGGCCAACATATTGTACGAGGTTATACCGTTCACCTACGAGCAGAAGAAATTGCTTGAATTTTTGGAGACAGGGTTAGAAATCGGAATTTGGCAGATCGTTCGCAAGTCTAAACGCTCGTTCCATATATCGGTACCTTTGTATTTTCGCAAAGAATTCGAAAATGCGTTTGGTGCACTAAGTTTTAATTTGAAGTTACTCGGTCGCGAGGTCAAAGCGTGAGTGAGTATCTAGCGTCACACGAGTCTAAATTTTTTAAATTGTGTTGCAGAAGCACAAGTAATCATCAAAAAATTTGTAAAAGTGCACCTGCACTGAGAGATGCACCAATTAGTTTTAAGAAGTATCATCGATATGGCGAGGTAAGTAGTTCATCATCTTTCAATGATTCTAATGAGGGGCGTCGGACGATCTTTGCGAATTAAGTTTTCTTAGTGCCTAAGTGATTTTAGTAAATCACTCACAGCTTGTCAATAACCATGCAATGCATACAGAACCCGATCATCAAAACAAACAGAATCTTTGACAAGTACAGGCTGTAAGTGATTTAAGTATTTACGAAAGCTACTACTGTACAGATTGCTTTCAGATTCAAGATTACCTGAAGTACCTCTCACTGGAGTATCCAAATACTGTTTGCCTACAAAATTATGGGGTTTCATATGAAAATCGACCTTTAACGTTAGCTTACGTATCAACCGGAGGAAGTAAACCTATCATTTTAATTGATGCCGGAATGCACGCGCGCGAGTGGATCACTCCTGCGCAGGCGCTGTACATACTTCATGCGCTTATCGAGAAGAAAGAGAATAAGTACCTTATAGAAAAGGTCGATTGGATCATAGTTCCCGTAGCGAATCCGGACGGATACGAGTACAGTCACACAGTCGTAGGTACTTTGACTATGGCCCAAAAGTTCCAGTAGTACCTAGAATTTTAGGACCGGTTCTGGCGAAAAACTCGCTCTAAGTTGAAAAACGGTGCGAGAGGAGTAGATCCGAATCGTAATTTTGATTTTCAATGGATGCAAGATGGTGCCAGTAGACACGAAGTATCGCAGACATACTGCGGTCCCTGTCCATTTTCTGAGCCGGAAACGAAGTTCCTTAGCCGATTGATAATCAAAAACTTAAACCAAATCAAGCTCTATATCAGCTTCCACAGCTTCAGACAGTGTATCGCGTACCCTTTCGGTTATACGCACGCTTCACCTCATAACGCTTATGAAATGCACCAGCTAGCAGCACGAGCCGAAGAAGCCATCTATCGAGTCCACGGTAATCACTACGACGTTGGAAGTACATTGCAGGTTATGAGGAAGATGTCGGGATCGAGTACCGATTGGGCCTATGGTGCTGCCGGAATCGACTTGTGCTATACGTTTGAATTGCCAGGTGGTGGCACCAGGGGATTCGATTTACCTGCGAGTGCGATCCCAACTGTTGTTACGGAAGTGTTTGCTGGTATTAAAGTTTTTCACAAATATGTACAATTGAACTATACCAAATAAAACGACCTTTTCACACCTCCTACACCTAATTATCATTGCTTCGATCCGGACAATTTGTTTGTCTGTATTTTAACACCTTGTAGATTGTATATACCTGCATTATTCGCTCTGAATGCATGTGCTAATTACATAGAAAGAGATAGAAAGTTATCTCAAATTTTCACTAATACATGTGAAGGTATGTGAATTTCAATTATTTTTATGTGGTTCGAATTTGAGATAGGATACAAAACTCGATGATATTAGGATATTAAATTTGGGGCCAAGGTTTTGTATGATATCTTTCTGATACAAAACCTTTTTTTAAATAATCGTCTTTTGGTTTGACCTTTGTTTAGTTTTGCTTATGTTAAAAGATAATGAACATCTGGAAATGGTTGTGCAGTCATTTTAAAAGTGTTATCTTCGGTCATCGCGATAAAAGTTGTTTTTCGCTGCGTAAGCTAATTAGTTTCAAGATAAGCACGTAATATTGCGGAAAAAGAAGATGTTAGATTCAACGACGCATTAATTTGTTAAGGAAGGGGTTCTGAAAGTTAAAAAATAAAATGGTTTTAAATAAGCACACTGGACGCGAATCGTGGCTTCTGTGTTGGTGGATGTTAATAATTGCCTTTTGGTTAAGGTTTTTCTTCAATTTGGTGGTCGTTGAAATGCCGCCTTATTTGAGCGTATTTGAAAAAGCAGTCAGTCTTGTTTAACTGCAGAAGAAAGTTAGTTACGCGATAAGAAATTTATATAATACGTCGTCTAAAGTAAGTAAGTCGAATTAAAGAAGTGAATTTTTTAGTTTAGTCGAAGTGTTTTTCAACGTTTATCGAAATAGGAAGCCGTTCTATAAGGTATTCAAGTACCCATTAACAAGAGGTTTTTTTTTCAACATCAAAGAAACTATGTGACTCACTAGTAGAGCATTGGACTACATAGCCGTAGGTCGGGTGTTCGAATCGGGGCTGAGGTAAGAATTTTTCATCTGTGGCAGAGATGAGAATTTCTTTAGATCAGTTTCGAGCATTTTGCCGGCTGGATCCAAGAAGAAAGGATAAAATTAAATGCAAAAGGTACATGATGTGACCTCTAATGACAAAAGAATGAACTAAGGTAAATACAATCTATAACAATTACTCGACACTATCGGCGGCTCTATTAAACATATGACACCTTAACAGATTCCATAATTTAGTAATGAATATTTGTAACACTAAAAACCACTCACTATATTATTTATCCCTTTTAGCGCTGTGAATGCCCTATTGTCTATTATATTGTCTTCAAATATCAATTTATTTTTCTACATTCTTGGGATTTTTCTATTCTTCGGATTTTTTTTTATTTTTTCGAATTTTTCTATTTCTTCAGGTTTGTAGAATTACTTGGCCACTTAGGATTTATGAGTTCAATTGAATTGTTTTCCTTTCGTTCCTTTAGACTTTTAATAAATACTTTCGTTACATAGGATTTTTTTACTATCCTTCGATTTTTAGTCTCTGTGGACGTTTCAGGCTCCTTAACTTTTATGATTCTCCGGATTCGGGCGCAGGACCATCACAGATCCTAATTTTACAAACACTTTAATTAATCATAAGCTTTAATGATTTCTCTTATAGATATTTGACCCCTGATTTGGCATAGTAAATAGATAGTTATCATTGTATCTCGTAAACAAAATGATCTTATACCTAATGCTGGTTACAAAATAATAAGGTGAGAACGACCTCCTTACAATGATACGGAGAAAATAAATCTTGAAGCTGTAGATTGGAACCTTCCGACAGTCAAGAATTCTTCAACGGAATCAGAAGTTCTAGGGCGTCATTTTTTAGAACAGTTAATCCCTGTGTTCATTCTTTCTGTTAATGTTATTCAATGGCGGGCACTTACAATACTAATTTTGGAGTCAACAATCAAGTATAATCCCCTCTTGTTCACTGAAATTAACACTGTTGAATTCTTTTAGCGCGTTTAATTAATATGTCCTTGACCGAACACGACTCCTATTTATACGATGAAAACGCGCGTATTTCAAATAAGTTTGTAACTTTCTCTGGTTGCACAGTAATTTCCTTTGTAGTGTAATAAATGACACAGTCTTTTAATCTCCTCCCCTCGAGGAACTTGTGTTCAATTTCATAGTTCGCACTCCAATTTTCTAAGCTGGAATTTTTTATTAACCCCGAAAACCACCAACTTTCGCCTTTCATGAATTCCACACCAATTTGGTTAGCGATGAAAACTGCGTGGTTATTCCTTGGTACTTCCCCACCTGAATTTAATGTTCTAAATTTTTCTCCAACACTAAACCTCTGTATTCCTTATTCAAATGAGATCGCCTACAAAAGGGCTTCTTAATAATGCAGACCGCCATTTTTAATTGTTAATTCTTTTGCTTAATTCCCGCATTAAGAATAAAATAAAAGCGTATTTTAGGAGTGCAATTCGGCGAAGTGCTCAGTTCATGGGGTTTCAAGAATGGGTCTGAGCTGTGCAATTCGAGAGATGGAGCGATTCCAATTGGCTCTTAAAAATACAGTTCACTAGACGCCATCTTGAAAAGGGCGTTAACTAATATAAAAAAAATAGGTAGGAATTAACCTGAAGAGATTTATGAAGGCATTTGGTTCCGAGCTACGGGAGCGTTAACCGTACTGCTCAAAATGTAGTTTGATGGTTAGCCGCGAACGGAACAAAAGGGCTTGACCTTGTAGTTAGAATTCGTAAAGGTAAAATTTTCAAAACCTTCACACTTGAAAAGATCATAAATAAAAATAAGGTCTGGACATTTGCTTAGCAAGAAGGTTAGTAATGCAGGTATCAGTAGGAGAGAAAAGGAGAAACTCTCATTAACCCATCATCGTAAAGGCTATGTTAACAGCTTACGATGAACTTCGGTAGCTCACACGCAACCGGTTAGTTTTTAAAATTAAATGGTGTAATTAGTAAATTTAATAAAGTCTAAAGGATACATTGACAATTTCATTATCACTACCAACTCAATCGGAAACTGAGAGAACGGGACGGACCGATCGAGTCGAGCGCTACCAAGGAAGGAGGACTTGCCCATGGACAAGATTTCGGAACGGCTGCAAAACGGATGTCACAGATAACACACCGGACGATCTCCAGTGCTCTTGCGGGTAGCGAAGATCGGATTCTGGCGAAGGATCTGAAAGCAACATTACAGCACATGGACACGGTAGCCATTACCCTAACGAGAACGCAAGCACCAAAGCACGACTAAATTAGCGGTAGCTACGGAAAATCAAATACAGGAAAAGCAAAGCCGTACACCCCTTTTAGTTAACAGAATGGAAGGTATCGGACGCTTACCTTTCAATTTAACGGTGATAAAGGTTAAGCTAACGTAACTTGCAATCTAAAAACACGCAAAATATCGATGATTCAAATACGGTACGGTTCTCAAAGTAAATTTACGGAAAAGTTCAAAATTATAATAGTACTTACGAACGTTACTTGCGACGATGTAAAAGACAAAAAGATCTTACATTTCGGTTAAAACACCAATAGCAAAGGGATCGCCTTTAAACAACGGCTTTACCTTTTATAAAATTCGGATATGTCATGGAGGGAGCGTAAGAAATTCCAAGCCGAACGGCGTATACTATTATCGACATCCAAAAGCTAAAATTTCTTTAATTAATTGTGCGCCCTGCTAACGTCCTAAAAATCTGTAGTTGGTCTTAAAATCCAAATTAACTAAAAGACCACTCACAAGTTAATCTGATCCTGTTTTCTGCAACTCATTAAATTAGCTAATATTAATTTATGCTCACTTAAATGTGCGAGATGAAATTTCTAAATTGCAGCTTATATGCTCGATTTAAATTAACATAGGTAACCAAAATATGATATAATTACTTAACGGGACCGAAATTCTAAAATATTAATTTGCTTTTTGGCGCAACAAAGATAATTGAAAAATCTTGACGGGAACGGTTCCAAACGGCGAGTTAATTACAGCTTGTGTTTACGGTAAGGGCGGCTGAAAAACAACTCTAGAAATTAAGTCAATCACGTTTACCTACTATCTTCAACTCCTAGAATAAACATACACACGTTTGGCGCTTCACTTTTCCTAACAAAGCGCATCCAGATACTGGGTGTTCACGTACTGGGTGAAAGTATGTAAACTTCAATTTGGAAAACAGGTACTTCGTTTCAAGTAGCCATGGATCTTCAATTTATTTGCAGAAAATTAGTCAATACAATATCTTATTCAAAGAATAGAACACTCAACCCCTTTATTGCAATAAGTATACTCTACTTTAATATCAATAAGAAACATGGTATATACCCAAAAGACAAGAGAGCGCATTTAAATTTTCGTTTTTTATTGAACACTGATTTGTTAATAACAATAATAAGATTATGTATAAATTTGACTCTACCAAGATATTACGTTGATGTGTCTATTTTGCTCTAAGTGGAGCGATATCTATTGTGAATTTCCGAGTCGTTGATATTGCTACCAAATGAATAGGTTCATAAATCGGATCAAGTATTTTGTTAAGACTGTCATTTAGACACTTTATCTATTATACATAATATTATTCGATTATGGTAACAACGTCCTTAGGATACACCAGATAAGACGATTTAAACGTTTCAGGAATGTAAATTATACGAAGTAAATCCATCCACGCGGGAACAAATAAAACTTTTAGAATTTTTGGAAGACGAATTCGAAATTGACATATGGAGTGTTTCTCGAAAATCAAAAAGGGCGTTCAGCATCTTGGTCCCGTCGTTCCTACAGCATGAGTTCGAGAACGCGCTGACTGATTTAGAACTACCTTATAAAGTAATTGTTCAGGACGTTCGCGCGTAAGTAATCCTTAATTTATTATCGATGCAAATTGTGTTCGTTCTAGAATTGCGGATGAGGAAAGAAACAATAATGACAAGGTACCATCCATAATCGAAGGAAAAATTAGTTTTCAAAAGTATCATCGGTACGCTGAGGTGTGACGCACGAGTATTGCACTAAAGTAAACTGTGGAGTATTTTAGATTGAAGAATATCTCAAGTATTTGTCTCAGGAATATCCCAAAGTGGTCACCCTAAAAAATTACGGTGTTTCGTACGAAAATAGAAATTTATCGGCAATTCATATTGCGACCGGCGGCCAGGAGAGCAAACCCATAATTTTTATAGATGCGGGCATACACGCGCGGGAATGGATCGCTCCGGCACAAGCTTTATTCATATTACATGAATTAATTGAAAACGGAGAAAATAAACATATGATAGAGAAAGTGGATTGGATTATTATCCCCTTGGCTAATCCAGACGGATATGAATATTCCCATACAACGGTAAGGTAATAGTTGGAATTCGTATAGGCAGCGCCATCAAACCGTGGACACTTGTAGTGGATCATTCTAGCATCCAGAATTCGATTCCCCAACTTTTCAGATGGCTTAAAAGTTATCTGTAATACGGAAATAAAATAAGCTCAATATTCCTTACTTTATGAGTTGAAAGATGCAATTATTTGTGATCTATCGCAAGAGCCCATGAATTTTCGCTTTTCGTTTTTCTCAAATACAAGTGCTGAAACTAAATTACGAAAAATTTCGTTATTTTTCCGACATTTGTATTAAAATAATGACCATTTCGTGAGTTCAAATTTAAATTTGTTGCTACAAAGAGACAATCTCAGGGCAAAAGAGGTATAATTACTTATTTACTTGCATTGGAAATGCTTAAAAAATATTATTGTCGAAAGCACTTTCCTGTTTATTTTTCCAAACAAAGAACGACGTTCGATATGTAACATATTCGACGTATGACTCCATAAAATACCGCAAGTGCGTTTACTAAACTGAATGGCATAACCAAATACTCGGCGTACTGGTCCAGTGTTACGAAGGAGGGTTTATCAATTGAATCGTTAACTACCTGGAGTTGTTCTGAGTCAAGATCTAAATTAGTAAAAAGCTGTGTACCTTTGAGGTAATCCAATAAATCATCTATGCTCGGTAAAAGGTGTTACCCACATAGCATTCGATATCTTATGTATATACATTTTAAACCCATAATGTACAGGGAATACTCTGTACATCTTATGTATATACTATGTATATTCATTATAGACATATGTTTTTTATGTCCAGATGGATATTCTATAAATATACATTTTGGATGTGCTATGTACCTATATACATGGGATTATATGTTATGTATATACGTTTTGGATTTGATACATGCGTTTTCTGTATTACCGACGTTATAAACGTTAGCGTCTCATTTTCTGTGAATTACGGCGATGAAGATAGTAAGGTGCTATTATTGCAAATACAGTTCATTTTTCTAAAATCAGGAGTGTTATTCCACGAGTTACTAATGAGTTTGTTTGTCTAATTTGGACAATGAAAGTAATGATTTTTATTTCGTGTGTGCATTTCCATTGTATACTAGGAGACAATAAACAAAACGCTTCACTCCGTGAAAAGAATTTATTTATGTAAGTAGATGCTAGTAAACTTCCCGAATTTTAGAAGAATCTCTATAGAACATCCATTCTGAATGTATACAATATACATAGAATATCCTATTGAACATCTTTGCATATTGCAGGAATATTCAATTCATGGTATATCCACTTGTCAGTATGCCAATATACACAGCATGTCTGATGCATATACATGCATATATACATAAGACATCCAAAACGTATATACGATGTATTATGTGAAGTCTGCCAAACTTATATCCCATGCACATACATCGGACATGTGCAACATACTTTTCCACATTCTATGGATATACAATATCCCACGTGGAATGTACATGGTGTATGCAATGTATATAGGTCTGCTATGTGGGTAGTCTTCAACGGTGTTGGAATGTAAAACCCATTTTACATGCTACAATTCTATTTCACTTTCAAGTCAAATTTTACTGTTACCTCCTGCCTGTCCACAAAGTCTGCATATGGCCTCAGTCGCTGCACCCATCTTATGTAGATGGTATTTAAGCGGTATATGACCTGTGAACAGCCCTGTAATGGACCGTAGCTCCTTACTGTTGAGGACTCTGAAGCTTCCTTGGCTTTTTGTAACGTGCCCCTGATGAATAACTTGGCTTGGCGTTGTCCTGATACCCTCTGCCAGTGATGGGTCCTATTCATCCCCTCTCACTGGTTTAAGGATTCTTTCATGTAGCCTTTGTGCAGTCCACAGAAGAGCTCCGGCACTATTGGCTACCGCCTGGCTCCTTGTTTAGTCAGTTCATCTCTTTTCATGTTGCCAGCAATGTGCGAATGCCCTGGCACCCAACAGAGTGTGATGCGATTGACACTTGCCAATTTATCTAGATTGCAGATGCACTCCCAAACCAGTTTGGAATCGCAGGTACGGGCTGCTAACACCGCCAGTCCAGTGCAGCTTGACTGTTGACTGTCTGTGAGAATATCTATTTTTGACCCCTTCTTACCCATTTTCAGGTTTGTGAAGGTTTATACCATAGGCCTTTGCTTGAAAGACGATGGTTTTTTGCCCCAGTGATTCCGAGAGTTTGAGTCGCTGACTCCTATCCTTGTTTGACCGTATTTTTGTTTTGCACCGTCTATGTACCACTGCGTAGAGCCTTTCCTAAAGGTAGGCTTGTTTCTTTTCCAATCTTCCATTTGTGTAAGGTTTGTACTGAATGGTACCCCTAGCTTGTGTTTTATCGGCATTATGTCCGGTGGGTATTCGACCACCACTTTCATACAAACCTCCTCAAGAATTGCTGTTTCGTACTTTTTCTTATCATCATGGGGATGGTGGAATGCCTCCGCGTGTTACTATGGCGGAGTGGGCTCCTAAGTCCCTTAATAAATCCCAACGTCGCACGTATCACCTTTGGTATTCCATCTACGCCTTTCCCACCTCTCACACTCAAATACTGCGTGTCCTGGAGTGCCCGCAGTCCGCACAGGTGTAGTCCCGTCGCCTTTTGAATCTGTGTAGCTACTCTGCGTTCTTCCCGTGTCCTGCTATGAACTGTGTTAAATGGAAGCGTTCTTCTCCGTGCTTTCTCCTGTGCCAGTTCTGAACGTCGGCAATCAATCTACTTCCTACGACCCCATTCCTCTTGCCAGCGAGCCAAAGAATCTTTCCTTATGGCCCCTTCTGCTTTAGCCTCCGCTTGTATTGCCATTGGTATTACCTCGGCCACTACACAATGATTTTTTTTACTGACCGTTCTATAAGCCGAGGCAATTCTCAGGGCCATACTGCTCTGCGCCCGCTCCAGGATTTCCCTCACGTTCCTCATTTTAACTGCCGTCGCCCAAACTTCAACTCCATATAATATGGCGTTGTTTACCGCGGTATTGATTACCGTCCTTTTGCTTGAGCTGGAGCCTCCTATGTTGTGCAGCTTTTTTGCCATGGCATTGGCCTTTTCGGCCCGGCTTTTTCACATGGTTGACAAACTTTAAGCTTCTATTTATTGTGACCCCTAGTATTTTTATTGAACGCTCTGGCTGCACCTCGGCCCCCTCAATCTTCACCACTATCTGGGGAAATTTTAGAAAAACCTACTATGGCCACCGCCATGGTTTTTCTAACACCAGTTTTAACCTCTTATCCCCCATCCACCTGTCGATGGCTTCTATAAGCGGTGTCCATACAGCGTTTGGGTTTGACCATCTCCAATTCCGTATCCGTAGCTATCACTGTGAGATCATATGCAAAAGCAACCAACTTTACCCCCTTACTTCATCGTACGTCACATTCCATAGCAGTGGCTGTAATACTGATCCCTGGTGGACGCCTCAATTTACGTGGAGATCCCTCTGTTTCCAGCGAAGTTGCTATCGAAAGCACTCTCTATATCCACTAACACGGTTAGAGCCACATCTTTAGACATAAGCACCTTGCCAAGTTTGTATGTTAAACTATGTAAGGCCATGCTTGTTGATTTTCCTTTTTCATAGGCGTGCTGTTGACGGTGAAGCGGATGTTTTGTTAGAACCTCATGTCCATGAACTTGGCAGGCCTACTACAGCAGACCATGGTTCTGCTTACTCATATCGTTAGTGTTCCGTTAGTGCACGTTAGTGCCGCTGAAGAAATCGTTACTGCACAAAAGGAAACTTGCTATTTTAAAAAAATATTTGTGGGCCTGCTAACTTCATGCCAGCAGACCCATTTGAGAAAATCGATTCAATCTTTACACTAGTTAAACTAGCAGCGTTAGTGCTCGTTAGTGCCGCCAATATAAACGTTAGTGCTCAAAGTGTAACAGCTCAAAATGTTGTAAAAAGGGGTCTGCTAACTTCATGCAGCAGACCCACATTTGTCAAATTGGCCCTGTCCTAACGCGAATTTGAAGCGGCTCGTTAGTGCTCGTTAGTGCTTCACATGCGAACGTTAGTGCTGCAAGGGATCTGCGTCAAAAAGGTACCAAACCACCTCAAAATTAACCTTGACTTATTGGGGCCTGCCAACTTTACGCCAGTAGACCAACGAACGAAATCCGTTTGATTTTCTACTTTAATCGACCGGTAAGTATTAGTACTCGTTAGTGCCGCCAATATAAACGTTAGTGCTCAAAGTGTACCAGCTCAAAACGTTGTAAAAAGCGGTCTGCTAATTTCATGCAGCAGACGCACATTTGTCAAATTAGCGCTGTCCTAATGCGAATTTGAAGCGGCTCGTTAGTGCTTCACATTCGAACGTTAGTGCTGCAAGGGATTCGCATCAAAAAGTACCAAACCACCTCAAAATTAAACGTGGCGTATTGGGACCTGCCAACTTCACGCCGGTAGACCAACAAACGAAATCCGTTTGATTTTCTACTTTAATCGATCTACCAGTATTAGTGATCGTTAGTGTCGCAAAAAAAACGTTAGTGCTCAAAGCGCAAGAGCTCAAGCGTGATATTATGGATTTGCTAAATTCATGCAGCAAGCCCACATTTATTAAAGTGGTCCTGTCTTAATGCGAATCTGAAGCTCCTCGTTAGTGCTCGTTAGGACTGGATCCGTGTCGAAAAACTACCAAAGCATCTTAAAAATTAACTATAACTTATAGGTTCTGCTGCCAACACAACAACTAGCAAAATTTGTTTCCAATCCAAAAAAAAAGTCGAAGAGAATGAACGAAATAACCTATAAGTTATAGTTAATTTTTAAGATGCTTTGGTAGTTTTTCGACACGAGCACTAACGAGGAGCTTCAGATTCGCATTAAGACAGGACCACTTTAATAAATGTGGGCTTGCTGCATGAATTTAGCAAATCCATAATTTCACGCTATAGCTCTTGCGCTTTGAGCACTAACGTTTTTTTTTTGCAACACTAACGATCACTAATACTGATAGATCGATTAAAGTAGAAAAATCAAACGGATTTCGTTCGTTGGTCTAGTGGCGTAAAGTTGGCAGGTCCCAATAAGTCAAGTTTAATTTTGAGGTGGTCTGGTACCTTTTTGACGCGGATCCCTTACAGCACTAACGTTCGCATGTGAAGCACTAAAGAGCACTAACGAGCTGCTTAAAATTCGCATTAGGACAGAGCCAATTTGACAAATGTGGGCCTGCTGCATGAAGTTAGCAGACCCCTTTTTACAACATTTTGAGCTGTTACACTTTGAGCACTAACGTTTATATTGGCGGCACTAACGAGCACTAACGCTGCTAGTTTAACTAGTGTAAAGATTGAATCGATTTTCTCAAACGGGTCTGCTGGCATGAAGTTAGCAGGCCCACAAATATTTTTTTAAAATAGCAAGTTTCCTTTTGTGCACTAACGATTTCTTCAGCGACACTAACGTGCACTAACGGAACACTAACGATATGAGTAAGCAGAACCATGGTCTGCTCTAGTAGGCCTACCAAGTTCATGGACATTAGAACCTCGCTTCTCAGGAATTGGTATAAGACTTTTTCCATTCCCTGCAACAGTAACGAGCTCAGGGTGATGGGTCTATACACCTTTGGTCCTGACCCTTTTAGTATGAACACCACATTCCCCTCCTTCTACGATCTGGGCAAGTAAGTTGAACAGAGATGGCTCTGTAAGATATATAGTGTGCCCAACAACCTTTTAGAAGAGTGCTGGAAATATAGAGTCTCCACCAGACAGTTTAAATGGTTTGAAGGCCATTAGGGTCCATTCTCCTGTGTAAAGATTTTTGAGGCTTCACTTTTAACTCTGAAGTGAGGCTTTACCTGGCCTTCTGCACATATACGTTGAAGAGAAGCCTTTACTTCTTGTGAGTATAGGTGTTTGTTATTACGGAATTGTACTCGGCTAGGGTTTTGTTGAATAGCCTTCCGACGATGTGTTTCTAATTACTCATTCCACCACAGAACGTTCCTCGTTAACCTTTTTTGTGGGGACAGCTCATCTCGCACGCATTATGCAGAAGTCTTTGTAGATCATTTGGGGATACTTCCTCTTTCGTGTCTACCGTTTAGGTGATCTCATCCACTGCAGACTTGATATACTCCCTATAGGAGCACCAGCCTGTCAGTTATGGGACCTTGTGTGTAATTGACTGTATGCATTGGGCCTTACATGGTCCGAGAGTGAGGTCTTGTCTGATACATTCCAATTATAGTTATGTTTGCCCGAATTAGCGGAGTTGGGAGAATAATATCTAAGACCTCCTGTCTAATTTTGTTGGAAAAGGTGACCCTTTTGGCCCCCTGTTCACTATTTCAAGTGAGGTTTACTATACACAATTAGCAATTCGCCTCTCTTGTTTGTGTCTGCTTCCCCATACTACGTGGTGCGCGTTGGCATCGCAGCCGTTGACTATGTTGATGTTCCTCCACTTGCAGCAGTATTCCACCAGGGCCTTTGCCGAGTCCCAAGGGAAGTATCCCGAGGTCACAATAGTCTCTTTCCCACTCCCGAAGGTGAGTGTGGTGATTTCTCCTGCAACCAGGTTCCTGGAAATTAATTGAGTTAATGGTATGAAGCTGACTTGGGATTTAAGGAGCATTTCCGTCCTCGGTGTTGCTTCTCCCTTACTTTAGGCAAATAGAACGCAAAAGATAGATAGACCCAAAAGTGAGTGTTTTCCTTCTAAAGAAAAGCCAATTTGGTAGAAGTGGAACAGGGAAAATCCAACTCGTCGCGCATTCAATACGAAATCAAACCCATCAATTCGATTTTTAATTAATTACTCGGTTCCTGTTCGTGGTAACTTTCCCGAACATCTGGCAAGCGATGCGTTAATTAAGCGCGCAAAATTTGACATCAAAATCTCCTCGGTAGGTGCTTCTTTACTGTAACTCATTTAATTAGCGTATGCTAATTATACATACTCAAAAGGCTGAAGGGAAGCTCATGAACCATTTACATTAATTAACTTTATGTTAATTACACGTTTTCGGCCACAAAGGCGGCTGGCGGTTATCTCATTCTTGAAGGCACGCCGCCAACTGATAACGGCAAAACAACTCGCGTCGGAACTTGTTCCATCCTTGCTTTTACTTATTATGGAAAACTGAAATGGCCTATAAACTATTAACGGCGTTGAAACCAAAAAATATTAATCGTCCTTCATCTTCTCCAGGACTAGACCCTTCGGTGGTTACAAAAATAATTCCAAAATTCCAACAGGAACGGTCGTAGGCGGACTAATTTGATCGCGGAAAGTTCTCGAAATTACAGTTTTGTATGTAACGAAGCCCAAACCCATCGTTACTATACAGAGTGATCGATCGTAAACGTCGAACTCAACTCAGAAATTCCGGGTGCTTCTTTACAGGAGGCCGCCTTCCTCTACTAGAGGTTTACCTGTAATAGGGCCGTGTTTTGCCTGCTGCACATCGGCTCCCTGGGTGGACGTCTGGCGTTCGCTAGTTGGAAACCTGCGCCTTAGACGGGTTGTTCCGTTTGGGCTTTGCGTCCATCTTCTTCGTTTGGTCACTGCTGCTGGCCTTGGGCTTTTGGTGCCTGGCGGTCCTCTGGTTGCTCTCTTCGGTGGTCCCTTGGAAGTGCCGCGACTAGCCTTAATCTTGCTAGATCCTTTAGGCTTCATTGCCCCTTATCCAAACCTGAAGCGGGCTTGACCTTTCTCTTCCAGCCATCTTAGTGAGAGTTGACCTATCTGTCATCGTTAGATGAACAAGAGCACCCTCCTGCTCCCTCTTCAGCACTCGCGATTCCTTAGTATTGAAGATGGTGTTCTGCTTCTGCAACAAACGCTCCGTGTTCTCGTTGGTACTGCTTGGAAAGCTGGCATTCACAATAGTCGCCTTTGGAATATCTTTCTCATCGACAACTCTTAGTGTCGCACCTACCCATGGCTTGATGCTTGGCACCACTCCTTTGAGCCATTTTGCGGTGGTCTCATCAGCGCAGTTGACTAGCACCAGCCTGGTTTGAACGTAGAACCTAGGAATTGAAGGTACACCGTTAGTCCTTCCAGGTTTCGAAAGGTTTTAAAGATTCCCTCCTGTAATGAGGTTCACCTCCTGGTACCTGCCATGCAGTATCCCTAGCATTTACCATTTATAGCCTGTTTAGAGGTTGTATAGGAATTGACCGGGTCCTGTGGAACCGTACTTCTACTTGGGTTTGTCGTCTCCCTGCTTGGCTGCTTCCTTATCTGACCAGCCTCGGGTGTGGTACCGTCGGACCGGTACCATTTTTCCTTCCCTTTATCCTACTTCCCTTGGCTCATCTTCGGGAACCGGACTTTCAAGCTGGATTTTGGCGATAGCCTCACTCACCATACTTGCTGCCCCATCTGGACTTCTGCCCATGACTCTGGCGTAGCAATAAGTGGGTACGTGTGAGGTCGAACGGTCTCAGGTCACATGGTTTATGTGCTTAGAATGGCACCACTGAGTCTTGGAGTTGATCCTACCGCAGAGCTCCATACGGCAGGTTCGTATATAATAATAATTGTGTGGCGTTTGATTTTGATCGGGGAAGTGCTATGTAAGGGATTGAAAAGCCGGTTTAAATGGATAACATCAGTATACCAAACCAAACTTGGTTGTCATACCTTTGTTATCCTATGTTTTATTGTTTCAGGATCGATTTTGGAGAAAAACTCGTTCCCGAATAAGCAACGATTGCAAGGGAGTGGATCCGAACCGCAACTTTGACTTTCACTGGATGAAGCACGGCGCAAGCAAGAACCTAAGATCGCAAACCTACGCAGGTCCGTGTCCGTTTTCTGAACCGGAGACGCGCGCCCTCAGCCATCTGATCAAAACTAACAGCGAACGAATTAGGCTGTATCTAAGCATTCACAGTTGCAAACAGTGCATAATCTATCCGTTCGGTTTTACGAAGGTACGGCCGTACAACGGCGACGAACTTCATCATTTGGCCCAGCGCGTTGAAGAAGCGATACATAAAGTGAACGGAAATCACTATGACGTTGGGAATTCTCCGAGTGTTTTAAAGAAAACATCAGGTTCGAGTAGGGACTGGGTGTATGGAGTCGCCGGAATTGATCTTTCGTACACTTTGGAATTACCGGGAGGCGGGACTAGAGGTTTCGACTTACCGCCCGACGAGATCTTGGGCGTGGTCGAAGAAATTTTTGCGGGGATCAAGATATTTCATAAATACGTGCAATTAAAGTATGTTTACTAAATAAACGACGGAAACAGTTTGCTATTCCTTGTCTATGGTTAATTTATAGTTTATTTACAAAAACTTTTTTTTATTTTGCTGCTACGAACACATCAATTCAGATATTTAAATGTAAGAAGACCACCATTTCCATTGTAATTGTCAATGTTATCTGGAGTCAGTCCATATATTCTGAAGGTACTACAATCATCAAGAATGACTAGGATAAAGTCGATTTGTAGATACATATAGTGCAGCGGAGAGACTCGCGAAATCGTTCGAAAAATTTTTTCTGAGTAGAAAGAATTGGGACCCACACCATTTTGTTCAGAAATATTTGAACCTTCAGAATCTCGCTTTACGACATTTTCCCGTGGTCCTGACAAAAGTTATAGGCCGCTAAAGTCGAACTTTACTCATTTTCGCGCGCGCGACTAGACCACCGAAAGTATTTATTTTCTCAGCAACTAAGCGATATACATCAATAATTCCTTTTGTAAAATGAAAGTACATTTATAGCAGAATCTAAAGCATTCATATTTACCTACCTTGTTATGCACAGTTTTTAGAAAAATGACCGTCAACTTCCAAAATTCGTGTAGCAGATGAAAAGTGCGCACTTTGAACTCTCATAACTTTTTATTTCACGATATCGATTTCCAATATTTATAGCTCATTCGATGCTCCAAAGCATTGTGATTATTTTATTTTCTATAACATTACCGTGAATTTGTCATAATAAAAAAGTTACGGTCATTTAAGTAAAAACCTACCGACCTCGCCGAGTCGGGAGTCGCGAGTGAGACGGAGAGGGAAGGATAGTCAACAGCGTTCGCGCAACAAGGAGCGATGCGTAAGAGATTCTACTTTACTAAAAAATTTCTCTCCGAATACCAAAACTGGCCATATAATTAATAGGCCGTTTACAAATGCATTCCGCCGAGTTGCATTGTAAAATCTCAAACAATTCATTAACTCCATGTATCTCAGTTCTTTGGTGAAATATATAGGTACAAATAGGTACCTTTCCCTGTAAATTTTGGGGGTTACTCCACAATAGGTATCTCTTGTGCTGTGCTGTATATTGCAAGATCAGCAGTGACTAGGGTATGATTTTGTCCCAAAGATTCAGGCTTGTTTTCTGATTTCACTAGACGATGGTATATTGTAGCTCGCTGGTGGAGAATTCAAAAACGGCATACATATATTGAATGGTAGATACCGGAACTTACTTAGGATTATCAGCATGCGCTTAAATGGATCTACAATTACTTGAGTAGCCGTACAGCACAGGTCCTCATTGAAGATACCTGGTCAAACTCTTTCGTAATAAGATCAGGAGTACCACAAGGCTCTCATCTTGGTCCTCCACTGTTCCTGGCTTTCATTAACGATATTTCATCAGTATTTATATCTGAACATGCGCTTTTCGCCGACGATCTCAAGATATACAGGGCTATTGGTGGTATCAATGACACTGCAATGCTACACCAAGACTTGGTGTAATTAGAACTCTGGGTGTTAAACAACGACTTGCAGCTTAATGTGAATAAATGTTCCACTATTTGTTTTTCAAAAAAATACAGTCCTTCTGAGCCGAATTACTACCTTGGTGGTCAGTTATTAGATAGTGTCGACTCCATCAGAGACTTAGGCATCATACTAGACAAGAAATTCAATTTTCACCTCCATTACGACCAAGTGACATCGAAGGCAAGTAAAATGCTTGGACTTCTTAAACGCCAGTGTAACGATTTCCGTAGTATAACAGCTCTAAGGACACTATACTTCTCACTTGTGAGATCCCATTTGGACTACTGTTCCGTTATATGGTCTCCTTATTATGTTTCCCACATCAATCGCCTACAGCGTATTCAATCGAGTTTTTTGCGCATGATGAAGTACAAACTATCATTAAATGGGATACATATAGATTCGACTGAACATGTTGGAATATTCCTCGATATTCAACCTCTTAAACAAAGAAGGACATCGACTATCGAGGTTAATATTAAATAACCATGTATTTGATATTTTAATGTGTTTTATAAGTTTGTTTCTTACTTTTTATTTTGTAAAATGCCTATGGCGTAAATAAAGTTATTATTATATGTACTTAGGTTGTTAAAGTCAGTTATCTGGTCGTTATCTAGTGATAGGTAAACGAGCAATTGGGATTACTTCTGCCGTTGTATCTATCGCTTTTGAAAAACGACTGTGCGTTGAATTTTTTCGTCTGTTTCTACAGAATATGACCACCTACTTATTCTTATTCTGTGACTGTTTCCTCGTTGATGTCGAAGTTATTAATGCTCGCTGTGATAAAATTATCATTTTTTATTTGACAAATTTTTATGAAATGTAGGTAGACTGTAGACACCATTAGCAGAACGTGTAATATTGACGTTTACTGTACTTGTTATGTCACTGTCGGGGAACATTTTCTGACCCGAAAGACCAATTTTCAAATGAGAAAAACTTTTGTTTGGAAAATGACCTTAAGAAAAACTGTTCGACAATTTTGTTCCGGATGTACCTACACAACAAACTTCGTGGAATTCTCTCCATTTTCGTTGTCCGGCCAAGAAGAGCAGTGGAATTATTTTTTTCGTAATTTCAGATTCGTGATTTTTATATTCAAAAACCACCAGATACCAAATTTCGTCGAAATTAACATTTTTTTCGCAGCCCTATTTAGAGGTGTGCCCTTTTGTGGTAGGAATTTTGAAAAATTGTTTGCAAAACCGGAAAGAGCATACAGTAAAACCTACTCAAAGACTTACCATCAGTCTCTGTAACTGTTATATGGTTGCTGAGAAAAAAATTAAAGGAGAAATGGAAACTTTACCACTTTTTTGAGGGTGGTTCCTAAACGAAATACGTTAGACCCTCGGTTTATTTGGAAAAAATGCTTGTTTTTGTCCCCTTTACCAGTTACCACCCAAATTTTTTACATACTTACATGTAACACTCTGTATCACCAATGAGCTGATATACATGGAGGTAATCAATTGTTTGAGATTTTACGAGTACGAAGCACCTCGGCGGAATGTATTTGTAAACGGCCTATATGGCTAGTTTTGGTAAACTATTCGGAGAGAAATTTTTTAGTAGAGTAGAATCTCTTACGCATCGCTCCTTGTTGCGCGAACGCTGCTGACTATCCTTCCCTCTCCGTCTCACTCGCGACTCCCGACTCGGCGAGGTCGGTAGGTTTTTACTTAAATGACCGTAACTTTTTTATTATGAAAAATTCACGGTAATGTTATAGAAAATAAAATAATCACAATGCTTTGGAGCATCGAATGAGCTATAAATAATGGAAATCGATATCGTGAAATAAAAAGTTATGACAGTTCAAAGTGCGCACTTTTCATCTGCTACACGAATTTTGGAAGTTGACGGTCATTTTTCTAAAAACTGTGCATAACAAGGTAGGTAAATATGAATGCTTTAGATTCTGCTATAAATGTACTTTCATTTTACAAAAGGAATTATTGATGTATATCGCTTAGTTTCTGAGAAAATAAATAGTTTCGGTGGTCTAGTCGCGCGCGCGAAAATGAGTACAGTTCAAATTTAGCGGCCTATAACTTTTGTCAGGACCACGGGAAAATGTCGTAAAGCGAGATTCTGAAGGTTCAAACATTTCTGAACAAAATGGTCTGGGTCCCAATTCTTTCTACTCCGAAAAAAAAACTACCTCAAATAAACGAGATAGCGCCGGCTCTCCGCTGCACTAATAGGGCGTCGTTAAATAATTGGGACCGTAAGTCAATACAGTTACTCATTAAGGATTTAAAATATAATGCTTCCCTTTCCATTTCTTATTCATTATGTGTGCTTTGTATGTTATAGTTTGTTAATCACGTGCATGTTTATTGTTTGAAATCGTTTTCACTTTTGGTGTAAATGTTTGCTCAATATGTCGTTACCTTTGATTACATGGTCTTGATCCGAAGTTAAATTTACCATTTTTGACAGTACACTCGACGAAGTTCAAAAATCGCCAAATAGGGAAAATAATCCATGTAAAAGTAAATTTTGGTATAGTTTTAGGTAAAGGTGTCTTAAATAACATACAAAAAGTACTAATGAATGGTGGTGTGGTGTATGTAATGGTCCCTTTTTTTAGTTTTTCACAAATCACTCATAAACGGTGGTGTAACGAAGCACCTGTTTTCCGCCTTTAAATTATCAGTTTAGTGGCGCTCTGTAGATGAACACCCGGTATCAAGAAGCGATTTAAGTTGGTCGTTCCGACAATATTTATTTCTGTGTAGGAGTTGGAAAGATAAGGTAGAAATTAATGGGTAATTTATAAAGCCGCTCGTTAAGCGAAGTAAGAGGCCGTGTGAAATTTGCCGTTTGCAACCGTTCCCGTAGGAATATTTAAATTGAATCGATATTTATTAAACGAAATAGTTAAAATTGTGTAACAGAGAAAACAATCACTATAACAAATAAATTTCGTCCGACTGTTTTAAATTTAAATTAAAGAGATAAAAACAATGTATAACGCACAAGCTTAGAATGCAGGGCACTATAAAATACCATGTGCAATTTGATATCAACACACGCCGCTGATCGGCCAGCTAGATCCGTTTAACCAAATAGTGAACAGCGTAGAGAGATATGCTCTTACTCAGGGTAGTAGGTAAGTGAATTAAGAACGTTGACCACAAATTATTATAAAAGGTTCCGAGTAAATCTCCGCCACTAATACTTACTGGTGCGTCGATTCAAGTCTTTCGGGCGCCACCTAATTCCTATAACAATTTTATCTGCAGCCACCGGAATTAGGAAAAGTAGCTTCAGTATAAAAAAGAGTCAACAATTGACCCACAAGAAAGATTATTGTTTATTAACCAAAGAGTATGCAAAAAAAATGAAACCTTCCCATGAACTATTAACACAAAAATTAACCCACCAACAACCACTGAAGTTATGTAACACCTCGTACCGCTAAGCAACGACAAGTATAATTAATAGAAATTAAAATTGAAATGATGTACTATAATCGGTA